ACAATGTTTAGAGAGTCTAAAAATATAGTTTTCTAATGGAGTTCATATTGACTTTTTCCTTGTTGGGGCCTAGATTACTTCGTCCATTCTAAACCTGGAGAACCAAAATTGGGCTTGTGAGTGCCGTTAGTCTTCTGTTGTGGCCCAATCGCTTCTCCAACTTGTGGCCCAGCCCATCATCTTGGTTTGGCCCAACGCTCATCTCCGCAGCACTAGTGTCTTGAGCAGTATCGTGACAACCATGTGCTTCTTTCACTTGTGTCGTGCAGCTTTCTGATATTACAGGGTTTTTTTTAAGTTTCTGAATTTGGCTGGATCTTTTCAGAATCTGACCATTATTGCGCTAAAGATTCTTCATCGCGACTAGAATCATTTCGCACAGAAAAGTGGCTGGATTTAAATCAAGTGGTTAAGCACTGTGCCGACAACCTGTTGTTTTCTTAGTTGCTTGTTGGGATCGGACTCACTGTGGCCGACAAAGTCAGTGCGTTCTGCTCATCAGCTGTCATCCAAACGTACCAAACAAACTGCAACATGCATGATGTGTACAGGAAATGATGACAGCAATAAAAAGTAAAAAACCATGATGACAGCATATGATGAGTGTGCCTCCATTAATTTTGCACAGCATAGTATATGGCACAAACTTAATTGTAACTTTGTAAGTACACAGACCGGATAAAAACTAGAAACAGCAGCCCTGATGAAGTGTTACTGAAGGTCTAAAGAGCAGAAGTAAACTGAAATCTTGAGTGAGCCAAGTGGATCTACAGAGATTCAGATAGCATGATTGAATACACGAGAACAATTTGCATGTAGGCATGGTCATTGATCTCTATCGCACAGCAAAGATGGATCGCGAACAGTGGAAAATGCACAGCTTGGTGCTTAATCAACTGCAATGGAAACACGAGGCGGAGACAGTGAGCAACAGGCCATTGGCCAAGATATCGCAGATGTACTTGTTGTTGCAGTGGCTGAGGCCGTACCCAATGTACATCCATCCATTACCTGGTACATGTACACCGCAAAAGGATTTTCATCATTTACCAATAACTCAGAATTTCTATATCAGAGGACAGCCACATTGATTTTTTGAATACGATGACAGAGTCAAACTTTTTTTTTAGATAATGGAACAAGGTTCCAGCCAGAGTCTAACTGATGTGCAAAGAAGAAACAGTGTTCAAAAGTAGATTGTCCAATCACCAGTTGTGCTAGTAACAAATGAATCAGAAGGAAACTATAAGCATAACAAATGTAAAGGATTCTTAGAGACATATAAAACTGGAATAAGCTGATGACATAAATATGTTATTTGTCCTGGTAAGTTGTTGGTGAATTTAGGGGCATCGTTCGATGTCATTGTATTCATGGCAGCATGCAGGAGATTATTAGGCAGACTACAGTAAGAGTTGGCTTAGAAAAGTTATAGAACCATCTAAATCATGCAGAGGAAGGAGGAGGAGTACGTATATGCACAGCTGGATCCATTGGCCGTCAATTCTGATATCAATATCAGGATGGTTGGGGTGGGCACGACCCTCGTTCCTCAGCGCCTCTTTTACTTTCATTACTAACTCTTCGCTGACTGTATCCTCTCCATCAAGGCGAACCCGAACAGTCTGAAGGGACAGAAGGTGGCTTAAGGCCAGGTCGTCAACAAAAAATTCACTGTCAGCCAAATTCTCTGGTCGGATATATAATTTAAAACGTTGAAGCTTGGGCATAGCTCCAGGTGGGAACATAGATGGCACCGTTGAAAACCCAGAGAATTTGCACCGCGTCAAACATGGGAAGGCATTTGCCCTAATCATGAACCTTTCAAACACTTGTTTGGCGCCAGACCACTTTCACGCCCGTAACACGAAGAGCTCTGCAGCATGCCGAGGACTTGGATGTCCTCACTTCTAACTTGACCCACCTTTATGTCCAGGTAGGATAGGAGGAGAAATGATGTGGGATCGATCCATGTCGGCAACCGACTGGTTCCATAAATAACAAGCCGAGATAGGTTCCACAGGGAGTCGACTGAGCCTTCAAGATCAACGTCCACGTTATCTGGGATTTGTACTCCTAGAGTTTGGATTTTGTGTAGTTTGCCAAGGGACCCCAACAGAACTCTGCACATGCTTTCATCCCATCTGCCTTCCTTGTAATTTTTTAGCATAACCCATAGCACCCTCAGTTGCGTCAGATGGCCCAGCTCTTCTGCAATGTTTGCAGAATCCATGTTCATCAGAAGCAGCTCGAGAGACGATAGATTTCTCAACCCACTTGTTGTTGGCAGCCTTGAGTGTCCCCAGCAACAAGGAACATTAATTGTCTCAGCCCGAAGATACTCAGTGGCACTTCTTTTATGTCAGTTCCACAGAAGCACAATGTCTGCAAAAACTGTAGCTTCCCTATATCTCTTGGGAGGTCGCCAGCATATCCAGTATTAAATAGACTTAGATACCTCAGGTGAAATAATTTCCCGACAAAATCTAGACTTGGATGGTCTTTAAGATTGCAGTCTTCAAGATCCAATACACGCAGATGGTAAAAGCATGACATGGGTGGCATTGAATTAATTATAGCAGGATTGTCGATAGTAAGCGACCTCAATTTTGATATGTTCATTGTAGGCCGAGTAGTATTATGGATAGAGAGCCTGCGAACCTTTCTTTCCAAAGAAGATGTGATTTGGTTGCAGCCACCAGTTAATGTGGTAGCAAAACTTTCTTCTCTTGACAAAGAGCAAATGAGATCAAGCACCATATCATGCACCCGGCAACCAAGAGGAGACATATCATCCTCATCGATGTCTCTTGGCTGGATAAGGCTTCTGTTTAGAAGCTCATTGAAGTAACTCTGTCCAATCTCAAATAAGCTTTGCCTCACATCTCCTTGTTGGACAAATCCTTAAGCTATCCACCTCAAAATCAACTTGTCTTTTATAACCTCATAATCTTCAGGAAATAGACTTAGATACAGTAAGCATGTCTTAAGCTGAGGAGTTAGATCATAATAGCTAAGCAGCAATATCTTCCTCATATCGTCCATACCGGGATTGTTTCCTATTCCGTCACCAATTGCATCACACACATTGTTCCACTCATTTATATTTCTTGACTTATTTGCCAGCAAGCTAGATATGGTAACTATTACTAATGGAACACCTCCACATTTCTTCAAAACTTTGTCAGATACATCAGAAAATTGTTGAGGACACTTGTCTGAAGAGCCAAATATTCGTCCATAGAATAAGTTTTTAGAGCTCTCTTGAGTAAGAAGTTTCATCCTATAGCAACCACCAACATGCTCAGCAACATCAATTATGTGGGTAGTTGTGAGTACTTCGCTTTTCAGGCCATTCTCAGGTAGAGCACACCGTACCATCTCCCATTCTTACTATTTTCCTGTGTTTTCTAATCTCCCCTAAACAATAAAAGTTATCCCGTTTGCACTCAGATTAGGTCAGTATGTACTTGGATGATATATGGAAGCAGCTTTAGCTACATGTTGGCATTCTTTGGTGGAATATTACTATAGTTGTGTAATCTTTTGGCATAAAAAATGTAACAGAAAAATACAAAAGCAATTGGTTATTTCTTTCATGGAACAACATCATACACGCACACACACCACAATTTGTCGCTGACGATTATAACCTTATGTCATAAATCCAACATTTTTCTGTTGACAGACACCATGTATGTGTGCAATAATCATGAGTACAGTGAGAACAAATGGTATACATGTTTCCTTACTTTATTAGATTTTGTGAATAATCGTGCTATACAAAGATCGATGGAGTTTTTGAGATCTTTTGTCGACCCGATGCAATGATCTTTAAATTAATAAAACCTTTCATTATAAAAAAAACATTAATTGGTGACACTAGGTAGAGTACAGTGAGGACAAATGGTGGCAACAATGCTCGTATGCACACAGTTGTGTAATCATTTGGTCTGAAATTAAAAAAGTGAATGGGCAATTTTACAATGGAAAGGTACACATGCACAGCTGCCGCCACACTTTCTCATTCACGACTGTAACCAAGCATAAACCTACTCCCTCCACTTCAAATTATAAGTCGCTTTGATTTTTTTAGTTCATCTATTTTGCTATTTATATAGGCATATTATTTATCTAGATACATAGCAAAATGAATGCACTAAAAAAATCAAATCGACTTATAATTTAAAACGGAGAGAGTATAATTTTACTGTTGACAGTACCACGCATGTGTGCAATAATCTTCAGAGGTTTCCATCCAATGGACTCATGCCGTGATTATTTGGACTAGCGCACAAGACAGCACGTACCTCTTATCTTCGAGAAATTCCTGGACAAGGTTAGTAAGATGCTGTTGACCCAATGCTGCGTTGTGAATGTCCATGTACTCATTCTTATCAAACTCATAAAGCATGTCCTTGAAAATTTTTATAATATCAGGATCATGAGACACCGATACAAAAGTCGTGCAATTGAATTGCGGTTTTGCCTAGTCCTCCAGAGCCCGACGACATTATTTAGCAAGCGTTGTTTTGCCTAGTCCTCCAGAGCCAATGATAGAGACTATCCTTTGTTCTGCCGACGACATGCCACCAGTGGCGGATGCAGGATGGGAACAAAGGGAGGCTAAATAATGAAGATTTAGAGCTAGGGCTAGAGATTAATGGTAATTTGAGGCTAACTAATCGTGGTCTAATGAAGAAATCAGACTCACTAGGGAGGGCTGTAGCCCCGGCAACCCCCTCTTTGGATCCGCCCCTGCATGCCACCATCTTCCTTTGTCAACATCGAGATCAGCTCTTCCCTTGGCTCATCAATGCCAACAAGGCTAGCCGCCTTGGTGTACAGAGCTGTTATGCGAGGGTCAGCCAATGTTTTGGCAGGAGTATAATAGCTTCAATCTTGTACCTGTTCAGAGAGAATAAAAAAAACCAGGACAAAGTGGCAAGTAAGACGAAATTTCGGTGACATTCAAATTCATAGTCTTGGTGTTCCAGAACCTGTCCCGTCGCTCGGCCACATCCTTGACACGCTCCTTGATGTCCTTGATCTCTTGGCCGATCTCATGACGTGTCTTGGCCTTGCTCACAATACTTGTCATCTTCTTGATGAATCTTTTGATGCTCCTTTTGCTGGGAGGCTCAGAGCCCTGAACATGCACAAGGAAGGTGTCAACTATGTCCTCCATGTCATAGGAGAGCTCCCGAACATCCCGAGCCCAAATCTTGACAGATTCTTTAAGCTGCTCCTGTGGCACCTCTCCGACATCGCGGAGGGCGCCGCGAATGCTCTCTAGTTCTCTTGTGACGAACTCGATGTCCTTCTTGACTCCCTTGTGCAGGTTGTACTCATCCTTGAGCAGCTGGCGAAGCTTCGGAAGCAGGGTGCCCAGCGCCCCCGTTGCAAACTCCATGGGTCCTAAGGTCACTACTGACTACACATATTCCAGAAGCACATTTGCAGCGTACGAGGATCTAGAGGTCACAGAAAGAGTTGAACAGTGCTCAGGTTATATTGCAGAAACAGAGTTCATCAACAAAAGAATTTTAAGCAGTAGTAGAAAAAGCAACGGATTGAAATGGAAGAAGCAGGATGGAAACGATTCCAGCAGTCGAAGTAAAAACGAAACATCATCGTTCAATGTCATAATTATGAAAGTAGTTTCATGTAAAAGATTTCCGACTCACCAAGGTTTGCAGGAGAGGAGATGGTGCCTGTAGTGGGCAGTTGGGGGGCTTTGTCCGGCTTTGAGGAATGGTGCATGGGTTTGCTCCAATGGGGTCGGGCGGCGAGACGCACAAAGCATTTTAGCACAGACGCACAGGGCCGCCGGTGTATAAACCCAAAAAAAGATGTTTAAGCCGGCGGGCGCCCACCAGCCAGCCCGAGTTCGGTGGAGCCAATGAATTTGGACCCATCATCCTTTTTTGGACCACGCAGTCGTGGGCTTTAGCCCAACGTCTCTACAGTTAGTTTTATAGTTAGATCATCTTTAGTCCTGCTAATTAACCTCTGAACATTTCGATATGATAAGAGCCCAAAGATCCAAACACCGGGCAGCCGGCGTGCTGCTGCCTGGGGACCCTGCCCCCGGCCGAGTGTCCAACCAAATGTGTTCGTCCTTGCGTTTTGTTGAATTACAGTGCGTCAACGCATGCCCAGCCAGTGAAAATATCTAGTGCAAACTCAGTAATAGGTGGAAACCTGCAAGCTTGGATCGTGTGGATCCTTGGATACCAGATGTACGGCGTACAGAGTCCTTTAGCACATTTTGTATTTACCTCCCCGCACTGCCTCAGTACCTTTTCTATAGGAACACTGAACTAGGGCCTTGTTTAGATCGTAAATTTTTACAATCTGGACACTGTAGAACGTTTTGTTTGTATTTGACAAACTTTGTCTGATTATGGACTAACTAGGCTCAAAAGATTCGTCTCGTGATTTACAACCAAACTGTGTAATTAGTTATTTTTTTTACCTACATTTAATACTCTATACATGCGTCCAAAAATTGATGTGATGAAGAGAGAGTGAAAAAACTTAGAATTTTGAGGCAATCTAAACAAGGCCTAGATAGAAAATGTGCTGCCACCTCCATTTGAATCGATTCTTCATCTGAGAAAGCTTCATTCCAACCGAAGCTTCCTTCCAACTGAAGCTTCCTTTCACTGGTACTGCAGGTACCTCAGTTCCTCCTCTGCTCGACACCCTCCATTGATCTCGCATTTTCCCCAATTTTAGAAGACCTAGGGATTCTGCTCTTCTTCTTTAGGGCTGTGCACGGCAGTGGACGTACTCTCGCCGGCAGTCACAGTACATGGGTTGCGCCTCCTGCACTCGGGTGCTCATCTAGTTACAGTAAGATCATTCCACCTTCATCCATTATTGCTGCTCTTTGAGGTTAGTAGTTCGCGAGTTCTAACCAATTTGAAGTTATCCTTCTCCCATCTCTATACTATTCAGCCAGATCATTACTACTTGCTGCGGCTGTGGCTACAACAAGTTTCCCAATATTTACTCATGTTCATGGTACACTGGGTACAGAAACAAGCTGTACTCCCGGTTGGGAAATCCTTTCAGTCACGGTTTCCCAACCGGGAGCACGAATCCGGGACTAAAGGACCCTCCTTTAGTTCCGGTTTCTCGCCCGAGACTAAATGTCGGTTGGTAATACCAACTGGGGCTAAAAAGGCCTCCTGGCCTGGCCACGTGGGCTGGCCCTATTACCGACCGGGACTAAATGTTTTTTTTTTGTTTCTATTTTCAATTGATGATTCGTTTTGGTAATATCAACCGGGACTTCAAAAACCGTCGCTGGCCATGCAAACAACTACTAGCAAACACACTAAGGGTTGCGAGCTCATCGCTGCAGCCGGAATCCATTGATGCATCCCCCGCACAAAGAATTGACCAATCTGCGTAGAAGGATTAGCGCAAAGAATTAACCAATCTCCCCATAAAAAATGAATAATCTTTCTTGTTCTTCCCATTAAATGTTTTATTCATTCATGTAACCGCAACAAGAATATAAAGAAAAAAATACATTATTCTGACAAAGTTTCAAAGTTTTGGCCAACAAGATTATGAATTTTACTAGTGTACTCACCTCACTTATCCAAGCACGACTTCAAGGCTCCACGGGGCTTTGTCTTCCTGACTTGCCGCAAGCGCTGCATGCGTGGACTCCGTGAGAGCGACCACAGCGCACGTCACCTGGCCGGAAATAGCCAGATCCACTACACCTAGAGTGCCGCTGCCGCAAGAGCTTGCGCCACGAACTCGCTGGAGACACAGCTCCTAGGCCCGCGTGACGCCACCGCCGCACGGCCAGTGCGCCGCAAGCCGGCATGCAGCCGTCGTCGTAGCTCGGCTCGCACAATGGTGCACAGCTTGGAAAAGGAGATCCGGTGGATTGGAGATTGAAGAGAGAGAGTGAAGACTGAAGAGAGGATGAGATGCAGCACTGGCGTGAGGATGTTGAGAAGATAAGGATGAAGAAGAGGAGAGAGAAACTGTTGGAGGCGGTAAAAATTTTGCCAAGGAAATTTTTGGAAGTCCCGCATTCAACATAAACTGTTGGAGACAGCAACCGGGACTAAAGGTCCCTTTCTAGTTCGGACGGAGCCTCAGCCGCGGAGTAGATTTTACTCCCCGGTTGGAGGACCAACCGGGAGTAAAGTTAACTTTTAGTCCCGGTTGATAGTTCCAACCGGGATTAAAGGTCCCCTGCAGCAAAAGCCTGCCGCAACTTTGACCGACCACCCTGACAGAACGTCACGTCCAATTAATGCGTCCAACCACTCCCGCAACGTCAGCTGCGCGTCGGCACAGTACAGCAGAGTGGCCGATGGGACGGGAGTCACATCGACGCCATGCGGTCAGGGACAGGGCGGGCCAGGGGTACCGCCATCGTGCTCGCATCGCGCCTCCGCTGACGCCCGTCGCACTATGCTACCTAACTCCTGCTCCGAGGACAACGCGGCGTGGAGAGTCAGGTCTGGGTCCCCGTAGCCTCGAAATCAACGTACAAAGACCAACTGCTCCCTCCGAGCCTCGGCAATCCGCTTCAGGGTCTCGGCACCTCGTGGATTCGCACCCGCCGAGCCCCCACGATGGCTTGGCCTCGGCACCAATCGAGCCTCGGCTCTTTACGCTGTCGACACACATCGACCGCACATCGCTTCACGGTATGCACCATACCGCTGCAACATTTGCACACCCACGTCACGCACAGGGCCAAACCCCTATATCCTCGGAATTAGCACACCGGCGCCGTTGCAACAACCCGGCCTTGGCACTCCACGCCGGTCAAACATACAGCAACCAGTACGCCTCCCGCAGGAGAAGACGCGCCTGCCACCACAGGAGCTCCCACATCTCACAGGACCAGGCGTGACCGGCACGTCGCTCCAGTGCGCCAAGGACAAGACCACTCCATCAACCATGCCGCCATAGTGGCAAGCTACAGGGCTCGTACACACCGCCTCCGCTCACAATGCACCACGTAGCAAACTCATGTACCGCCCCTGTCCTCTCCTTCAACTATAAAAGGGGGCAACCGGGGCCGTTTCTAGGGGGGCACAGACACCCGACGAGCAAGCACACACACACTCACGAAGACCACGTTCGCACACGCGCAAGCAACACTCTGTAACACACGCTCTCCCCCACTGCCTGAGAGCAACGTCTCAAGCAGCCCACGCCGTTCCACGCAGAGACCTGGGACTAGCTCCCTCTCTCGCCCTGCTTGTAAACCCCTACTACGAGCACCTCGATGCAAGGAATACAAGATCGCTCTTTCAGACTGGACGTAGGGCATCTATTGCCTGAACCAGTATAAACCTTGTGTCTCTTTGCATCACCATCCGGGATTAGGGGCACGCAGTTCAAATTCACTAGTTGGTTGAGGACCCCCCGGTCCAAAACACCGACAACCGCCCTTACAAATACACACAGCAGGGGTGGCTGGTGATACAACCGCCCTTACAGAAGTCCACTACAGGGGCGGTTGATATTACCAGCCGTCCCTACAGAGAGAACTGTAGGGGCGGCTGAAAACACTAGCCGCCCCTACAGAGGCACCCTCTGTAGGAACACCCTGGGAAGGGCGGTTGGCGCAGCCGCCCCTACAGAGGCTCTAGAGCTGCCCCTACAGTAACATTCTGTAGGAAAAGAGGGAGATAATGATGCCACCAACATCCAAACAGCTACTAACGGCGATGAGGTGGCACTGCGAATCTTGCTAGAGTAAAGGCACTCCTATGCCTTTGCTTGGCCTGCCTCCTTCGAGGATCGAGGATCAAATTCGGGCTTGCCTGACATTGTGTCTGTTACTTGGCATCTTCAGTGAACTGGACAAATGGGTAACAATACTCAAATTCAATTTGCTGCTATTAGATTGTAAAGCATCTTGGTTAGGTGCAGATTAGGTATAGACCCTAGACCTCGTGGTCAGTCATCTATGGAAACAAATGAATTTTATATCTTGGAAACTGACAGAGCAACCACTGGTCTTTTATAAGATGAAAAGGATGCAAAATTAGATTTCGTTATTATATACCAAGTTATCACGTAGTAGTCCGATGGTCTGAGGGTTCAACTTCGTGTTATGTGCAGCCGATCAGCCAGACCTCAGCGATATTAACGAATTTTGTGATTTTCAGTGATTTTTCGCTGCAAAATAATTTGAACAGCTGATTCGAATAACGATCTGTCTTTTTAACCAAAATTCATCTGAAAAAATAGAAATTTTTGGGTTCAAGTTGGATGAAGTTTCAGCGATTAACACACTCACACAGATTACTGTCTTTTTCTTCAATGGTTCATAGCAAACCCACATTGCAGATTAAAAGTACTATACTAGAACTTACCGTTGAGAGCATTTTTTCAGTTGAGCTGCTGCTCGAGTTTTGC